TATCTCCCTCTCTCTCTCTCTCTCTCTCTCTCTCTCTCTCTCTCTCACACACACACACACACACACACACACACACACACACACACACACACACACATACGCACGCACACAAACACGCCCACAAACATATACGCATATAAACACACACACATACACACAAACACACACACACATACAAACAGACACACATACACATACATGCACCAGATGACTCACACAAACAGGAAACCAACGTCCTTCCCCACCCTACCCACCCCTCCTCTTCCCCTAAACGTAAATCCAGAAAGGAACTACTCTGAAAACTTCCCCAAACACAAAAATTATCCAATTCAGTCGCACCCTTTACGGTCTTATACTATCCCGCCATAAAAGGCGGCCCCATGACCTAATGAGATAGAGTCCCACAGAATTTGAGACAAAGATCGTATACAAGACAGTTCACTCCTCTCTTTGAGCCGATTTTTAAAAAATGTCCTCAAAATTCGGTGGCACCTTCTTCGAAAAAAAAGCGCCCGCTTTCCGAATAAAGTTACCCTACTTGTGTGGAAAAAAAATTAAACGAGAAGAAACGAAAGAGAGTCTCAAAACCTTGACCATTAATGATTTATTTATGCCTCTAGAGACTATAGGGCAATCAGAAGCAGTGCGCGGACTTCCAAGGACTCTTTCTTTTTGGCTGAGTAAACAATCTTGTTATGTACGATCTTTGTTTGAGGCCCACATACCGTTTGCCGTTTAGCGCAAAGAGCATTTGTTTGGCACAACACAGGGGATCCGATTATCTGCATTACCAAACTGTTCTATTTGAGCGTCTAGGTTTCACCCCATCCCCATTTTTTCAAGCATATTATTACTCAAACTGAGAGACTTTCAGACCGCTGCACAGGTGAAGTACATTACCACCAGCCAAGGACACTAGCAAGGAGCACATTCTTATCAGTTTTTATCAAAGAGAACCTGTGAGAACATTTCTAATGTCGCAATACCCCATGCTACAAAATAGGACAGTCCCTGGTCCAATATAACGCAGAATGGAGATGTTTTGTGAATAGAAAGTAATGAAAGTACTCATTGTAATAGGAATCGGCATCGACAACCGGTGATACACACACACACACACACATACACACACACACA